AGAATCGTCAACTTTTTGAAGGTCATATTTAGGCCTAAATAAAATGTTTTTAATTGTGTACCAGTTTTAACGTTGAATATTATTTATGATTTTAACTTTATACACAAGTGACAAAATACAATAATCGTTGTAGAATCGTCAACTTTTTGAAGGTCATATTTAGGCCTAAATAAAATGTTTTTAATTGTGTACCAGTTTAACGTTGAATATTATTTATGATTTTAACTTTATACACAAGTGACAAAATACAATAATCGTTGTAGAATCGTCAACTTTTTGAAGGTCATATTTAGGCCTAAATAAAATGTTTTTAATTGTGTACCAGTTTTAACGTTGAATATTATTTATGATTTTAACTTTATACACAAGTGACAAAATACAATAATCGCCAAAAACATTAAAGGAACAATCGGATTTTACAACGATTAATTTTGTCTAAAACTATCTTTACAGAATTAATCAATTATTTCTCCTATAGGAGGAAGATATCATGCACGAGATCTATAACAACGGTCCAGTCCAAGGTAAGATGACGCGTAACCGAAAGAATTTTTAATTTTCATATTGGATTTCTAACTCGCACGTATTTACTCATTCCAGCTTGATGTTCAGTACACATGATAACTTCTATGTTCCTACTCACATGTTAAGTATCTCCAGTATACCTGTTATCCTGTTTTAGGTAATGTTTTCATTAGATTACGTGATATTTATAAAAAAATAGTAGGCTTAACAGTTTTTCTGAATATGTTTATTTAAGTATGGTGTATATTTTTTTTCTCTAATCCTATTTTTATTAAAATATTGATTAGAATGTTTGCTAATATGTTTATTTTTATTATTTTTAACTTCATCATTGTTATATTTCTATTATAAATGTTATTTTACAATGTTAGAATAGTATATACGTTTAGGACTGATCTGTGACAGTTGAACCTTGGGATTACCGCCGAAAATATCGTTAAAAATGAGGATACCCAACTCAGAGGCACAGCGGTATATTTGCGGACTTACAACGTTCGAAACCGGGTTTCGATACCCGTGGTGAACGCTATCTAGACAGATCACAACGAAAGATCAAACCAGTAAGGAGTATAGCTAATTAAAAATAACGTTCTTGCTTATGAAGATCAGAATGAATTGTTTCATCAGTTGAAGTTAAGCACAAAGCTACACAATGGGCTATCTGTGCTGCTTTGTCCCCTGATCTCTAGTTAGTATTATTTAATTGTCTTTATTTTTCAGCAACCTTCCGTGTAATGCAGGATTTCTTCAGCTATAGTAGCGGCATCTATCGGAAGCTACCAGTAACTAATACAAATCCCACTAATCAAGGATGGCACTCCGTACGAATCATAGGGTAAATAAACGTTTTGTTTTATTTTAATCTCATAAAAAAAACACGTTCCTGAAATAGAACTATACATGATATATTGAAAAATAAATAGTTCTTAATAGTCTTACGTATTATAATATTCTTATAATAAAAATTATCATTAGTCATTTCGAAATATAAAAAAACTCATTTTTCTATGTAGCAAACACCATTATGTATTTTGTATTTTTTTTGATGGTTTAGATTCCTTGTTTTTAACGTATAACAATAACTTCTTAAGTGATTGTTATTATTATATACAGAAAATTAATATAAAGACGTCGTGTTCAAGATAAGTCCCTTTTACAGGTGGGGCGTGGAAAAGTCAGGGGGGAGACAGAAGAAGTACTGGGTACGTAATCTAACAGTTTGTTTTGTTTACAGTAAGTGGTGTAGTCATGTTGTGTAGCTTTACAGTAAGTGGTGTAGTCATGCTGTGTAGCTTTACAGTAAGTGGTGTAGTCATGTTGTGTAGTTTTACAGTAAGTGGTGTAGTCATGCTGTGTAGTTTTACAGTAAGTGGTGTATATATCTTTTTTCTTGTCCTTGAAGAGATAGGTCAACAATAAAAACAACGACGAACCACACCAAAAATCACAGGAAACATAAACCCAGCACACAGATGTTTAACTGCATTAAATCTTCTTCAATACACGCAGTTCTGTTCTTTAAGTACACGATATATATTAATTTACACTCATATTGAAGTACATAAAGATATATTTCTGGTAACGGCGAATATTATATGGTTTTTGTCACTCACAAATCACTCTATAAAACTACACAGCATGACTACACCACTTACTGTAAAACTACACAGCATGACTACACCACTTACTGTAAAACTACACAACATGACTACACCGCTTACTGTAAAACTACACAACATGACTACCGACCCATTCAGCATCACGTAATTAGACGTTCATTTAAAGAAAATATAATAATTAAACGTTGCTTGTGAATTAGGTAATTTTAGGCTAGGTAAATAATTCTGTCAAAAACCACCAATCAGAGAACATCAAAACACAAGAAATATAAATATTTCACAATGATTACTTAAAAACTGTCACACTTATGGTTACTGGCTTTATGCCATTGTCTTATGAAATACATAAACCGTAATGGTATACAGATTTATAAGAAAATAAACTTGTTTTTAACATAAAGTTTCTTCACGTCCAAACCAAGTTTCCGCAATTTTAATTTCACGACCCATTCAGCATCACGTAATTAGACGTTCATTTATTTAGCCCTAACTAGATAAAAAATTTATACCGCGAGTAGGTCAAACAAGTGGTGAATTTAAGGTTAAACCTTAAATTCACCACTTGTTTGACCTACTCGCGATATAAATTTTTTGATCTATCTAGGGCTAAATAATGATGTGAGAATCGTACGATGTTTTTTTTTCTCTCTCTACTTACGTAGGGATAATGAATGTCTTACTAAGTTACCTAGATTATATTTCGTCCCTTGATGGAACAGCCGAAAGTTAATGGACTTACAATCCGAGGTTCGATTCTCCGCAGTTAACAGAGGAGAGCGCAGTGAGGCTTTGTTCTAAAACAAACAAACAATATGATATTTCACAACAATATTTCGGGTTTTGTTCTTGTTTTTATAGGTCTGTGCTAACTCTTGGGGAACCGGCTGGGGCGAAGATGGCTACTTCCGAATTAACAGAGGTCAGAATGAATGTGACATAGAAACCTTTATTGTTGGAGTGTGGGCGAAAAGAAACCACCTGAGAAGAACTAGGAGGCGTTTTTAATATCTCAGAAAACAGCTCCCCCCCCCCCTTGTATAAACTTATATAAAATGAAACTAATTTACTAAAGGGAGTGGCAGTTGAAAAAGGCTTAGGTGAATGTTTACTGACAGTAATAACAAAAAATAAACGGTTTTTGATTTTTTACCTCGCTTAATTTGTTTTTTAAATGAAAATATAAGTAATGTGAGAAATATAGTACAGATGTCGCTATTATTTTATGTGCTATCCTGCTATAAAGGTCAGAGTTCGTGTTCTTTATAATTTTACAACTGAAGATGTTGTGATAGCCGGCTCACAGTCTGGTGAATAACTGCTTTTTTTTTATCTTAATGGAAAAGGAATCTAGCATTCTAAGGCGGATTTTTATTTTTTGTTCTACCCTATGTATATGTAAAGCCACTTACCAGTGTTAACTGTTTCCAGATTTTAATAATATTTGACTTTTTTAATAAAAAAACCTAACATGAATGAAAAATTCACCGATGGACTATTATGTTACGTGTTAACATTCACTTCTAATAACAACAAGTGAATAATATTCTAAAGTTAGCGATTTGTATTTGACTGTGTAATGAAGCTCAAACAAATGGTCATCTTTCTCTTTCTGTATAACAAAATTCAATAATAATCAGAACTTAATTTCTTAAAATCATGCAAATATGATGACGTATTAGAATCACCATTCGTGTTTACAATATTTTTTAAACAGGGATTTATAAAAAAAATATTGTTTTTGGTTGCATCATTGTTAAAGCAAATTAACTTTTTTTTTCGATGGCTAATATTCGAAATATTTCTTTGCAATTAGAACAGTTATTGTATTCAACGGTTTCTTTGTCATTTGGATTTTTTTTTCTCTCTCTCTCTTCAATTTTTAGTAGCTTAAACTTGGAAAAGTAATTATCATTAATAATCTTTAATTGAATAGAAAGTGTAATATTAGTTTATTAATTTTTACGTGCGTTTATAAAGGCACAATTTTTAAAGAATGTTGAATTCATTTTGTGTACTGCCAATGGAATCATATTAATTATTAAAGTTGTCTTTGTTTATTTGTGTTTTGCTGTTAACCGATCAGAATAATAAAAAGTTTGACTCGTTAAGGTAACTTTAAAGAGTTTTATAGCTTTTCATGTCTTTACCATCAACGGCTGTTGATGCAATTAAATAATTATAAATATCACCGTACGTGATATTCGGCCATTCTTCGTCTGTCCGTGTTGTTATATTCGGGTGACATCTTAGATAACTTAATTCAAGTTTCTACGAACTGCTTTTCTCGCTATGTTTACAATCAATTTCGCTCTTGTAACGGCGGACGCTATCAGTACAAAGGACGATAACTTAAAAGAAAAGTGTCTTTACACAATATAACAATTGTTGTTGTAACAAATAGCTTATATAACTAGTGTTTCGACCACTCCTCGGTTTGTTGCGTCCCAGCCGGCCTGAAGAGCTCTGGATTGAGCGAAACTTACTGTCAGCAATAAATATAACGGGCACAGCGGTATGTCTGCGGACTTACAACGCTAGAATGCGGGTTTCGATACCCGTGGTGGGCAGAGCACAGATAGCCCATTGTGTAGCTTTGTGCTTAATTAAAACCAACCAAATATATAACGGACATAGTACAGTTGGGATACTCTTATTATACACTACAATTCTTGAAAATCACAAAGGGGTTAGATACAGAATTCAATCTTTAAAAATACCAAGTATAATAGTGATGTCAAGTAAATTAATTACAATCGTGTTTCGTCGGCTTCAAACAAGTCGTTCACGCCATCTACCAAATGTTTATTTCAGAACTATAGATGGCGCCGGATCTTATTCAATTTGTAACTACTAAAAATGAGCCATCAATTTTTTTTTCTAACTTTCTCACAAAGATTAAGTATGATTGTATATTTATTGTTTGTAAAATAATGCATTTTGAATGTAGTTTTCTTTAAATATTTTCCGGTTTTTATTTGTTATTAATCTAGCGACACGTTTTAAGTGGTATTTGAAAGACAGCAGAATGTATGGTTTATCAGTTTGAACATGAAAACAAACTTACTCACATTGACGTCAGGCGTGAGGTTCAAATACGTTTGTTTTTTCCGACTGTTTTTATACATTTGAGATAGAATACATCAGAATAAAATACTCATTATCACGTGCACTTTATTCTATAACTATTATTAGTGCGTAGAAAGAATATCGGATAAACAGAGACAATAATTTTAGAATAAAAATACCAAAACAGTGAAGGTTATGAAAAAAAAAAAGGTTTTCTCATGCTCAACTTAAGATTTCCGAGCATCACCGAAAGTTGTTGCGTCCACTTCACCAGTCTTAATTGAACCAATAAGGGATGGACAGCCGATACATCTCGAAGAATCTGCTGAGCACGAGTGTAGATTAGGGCAACATGTCAATCTATTACAGCAACAGACGCCACTGGGATATGGGCAACAGCCAAATAAGCCATTAGGTTTCTTGCAACAAGTTTGAAAGTCATTACAGATGAACCCATTTCCACAGACGACAATGGCTAAGGGTGAAATAATATTCGTATTACATTATCTCTTAACAATAGCATGTTTATCAATGATCATTTCGACTTACCAATGTAATATCGTAGAACCATTATTTTACTAGACACTATCAACTTACCAAGTTAAAGCAAATAGCGCTATCAATTATGGATTAAACATTTAGAGAAGACGGCCCAATCTTGTAAGTAGTGAAGAACCAAGTGTTTTTGGACTCGTGGACCAATCTTGTAAGTAGTGAATAACCAAGTGTTTTTGGACTCGCGGACCAATCTTGTAAGTAGTGAATAACCAAGTGTTTTTGGACTCGCGGACCAATCTTGTAAGTATTGAATAACCAAGTATTTTACATCTAAGATCAACAAGGACAATTAAGAAGAAAGAGACAAGTCAAGACTAGAAGATGAATAATTAGAACAATGTCTAAAATGAAAGGTTTTCAATCCAACAATTTAAACAATAAATTGTAAACCGTGCAAAAAGAAACACTTATAAGTTGGCTAATAAGCTGAATTATTTAGGTATTACGTGCACGAGCATCTGCTGATGTATATAGCCTGTTACTTATTGTAACTTCTTGCTTCTCCTGATGATGGCGCTGTAGGTGACCGTAGAAACGCGGAGAGAATGGTCAAGCACAGCTAGATGTTGTAAACACTAAGGTTAAGGTTGATGAATGTGTAGGAGGTGGACATTAATTTGTTAAAACAAATTCTAAAAAAAAAAAAGTCCATAAATTGCACTAATTCCCTTACTGAATAATTTCATGTAAATAATTATAGAATGAAAACAAGATAATGTGTATATCGAAATTCTTTAACACACTTACCATAAGCTTCTTCCACTAGGACGGCAACCAAGAACACAACCAGGAATTGAATCTTCATCTCTAGAGTTTAGGAAGTACAAGACATTGAAAAGGAAGCGTAACGATTTATTAAAACTGGACTTAAATATAGGACGATATTCCAGGAAACAGAGGATCTTGTTTTACGGTTTTCTTAAACTCTCGTTTGTTACAACTATCACGAAATATATTTTTAACACATTCAAAACAGTATCTTACTCCAATCGCTTCTCGCCGAAAATGTTTGATTTTTAAAGATGCTAAGAAAAGTTATTGCCTCTAAAGCTAGAAAACGAATAATTCAGGAATAAAGTGTAAACATAAAAATATCGTACCTTTCAGTCAACTTCCCTTGCTAATTTTGTCGAATGTTTCAGACAGTCTTAGAAATATCGACTTATCAATGCCTTTTATAGGAAAATACTCACGAGAGAAACGAGTTTTCCCAGAAAATGTTTCATCATATCTGACACCACCTTGATTTGAATATAAAAGACTTTCGTGCTCGAAGCTTGTAAGAGTCGGGTTATAACTAAGCTTTTCTTGGAAGCGTTTATTGTTCTTTTCTTAATTGGTATAATATTTTTATTTGAGGTAAAGACAGATATTCATCATGGACAGGACACGTCATAATGTCAACAGAATCACGCCAAAAATCAAGTTTTGATACTTGCGTTTGGCAGAGCAATAGGTAGTTATTGTACAGTTTTTCGCTTAACAACAAACAATCGAAGTGAAAATTGAAAAGGAACTCTTCTGCTGTTTTCACAATCACATTAAAAACCTAAATGTATTCATCATTTAGACGTCGAAAACTATACAAAGGTAATTGTCTGTTTGTCGTCAGAGTATTTTATTTTCTAAGATGTTACTTTTAGTTACACAAAATAAACAATATCGAGAAGTCATCTAAAAAAAAAAGCAGGTTGATATTATAAAGCTAACATTCAAGGTTCAAGCCTTTCGGTGGACGCGCTGGCCCACCGTGTGACTTAGTGCTCAGACAAGTTTGTTTGTTAAATTTTGAGCAAAAATATTTGAAGGATACATACATTAACCGCCCTATATTTTAGTGGAATTGACCGTTACATCATAACGCTCCCACGACTGAAAGGGCGAGCATGTTTGGTGAGACGGAGGATTCGAACCCGCGACCCTCAGATTGAGAGTCCTGAATATTGGGAACCTCTGTTGTGCGTTATTTCTATTGTATTTGTTGGTGTCTTTCACGCGCCACAATGAACTCCTACTTATATGCCCCTCCCCCCAGTGGCACAGCGGTATGTGTATGGACTTACAACGCTAGAATCCGGGTTTCGATACCCGTGGTGGGCAGAGCACAGATAGCCCATTGTATATCTTTGTGCTTAATTACAAACAAACATACTTACATATGTTTTGAAAAATATTTAAAATTTATCCTAAGCTATTATTAAAAATATATATATTTTATATACATACTATAAACTAATTTGGGAAAACGTATGTCTGTCCGTCGGGGGTTACAATTAGCTGAGACAATATTTTCTCGCGGTCAGCTCTGTGTACGGTCATT